GAAAAAATTCCAAAAGATCAAGCAATGTCAAATATTGTTTAAATTACAAGAAAAGACAAATCATTAATTATTGTAAAAAAAAAAAGAAAGATAAAAAACGAGAATTTAGCAAAATATTTTAATAATGTACGATTAAAAATAATTGGAGCGTTATTTTTGCTTTTTTTTTCGAAAAAAGTATCGAATTTATTACAAAAGTAGATGAGTCATCAAAAATAAACTAATATTCCAAGAAAAAGAAGATGAAGTTTGAAAAATGACCGTTACCTGCACAGTATTTCCATTTGATCAAGCAATGAAATATTTTGATCGGAAAAATTTTGTTTGTTCCAAAAAACAAACTGATAACTGCTATGATTTGGGAATTCAGTTAACCATATCAGAAGTAGTATAACTAAGCAAACCATTGATGAAACAATGATTTTTTCTAATGCAAGAAATGAATTGAATATGCAAATTGTTAGAAATAATACCAAAATACCCTGAAAATGTAACAAAACAAGCGGAATTTCATGTTATAATGATAAAAATTTAACTTCTATCATTTGAATTTTCATATAAACATTTCAAATACAATGCATAAATGTAAGTATACATATAATAAGTATAATAGTTGGTATAAGTGTAATAATATAATACGTATAAGTATAGTAATCGATAATATGAAAAATTCGCCAAATAACTAACAATTCTATGGTTGAGAAAAAAATTAACAGCAAAAAAAAAGGGATGAAATTTTGAATAACTTCAAAATAAATTGGAGTATTCATAGATTGGTCGCAGGAGATTGCAATTATTTTTGTTGAATTTTGGCAATGATAAGAGCAATCAAGTGAATAGCGCTGCAAATTTTTAAATTATTCTGATTCAATTATCGAAATTTCAATTTCATTATTACTAGTTTAAATACCTTGGCTTTTTTACTGTTTTTACCATTTACCTTTACATAATAACAAAAATTAATTCAATTGGATTTAAAAGTTCTTTGAATTCTGATTTTTATAATTTATAAATCAATCATCTAACTAATTTATTTGCTAGTTATTTGAAATACCAAAATACTTAATCAATCGGATTATTTAATCAGCTTCGTTAATTAATTTATATAACAACAGATTGTGCTAGATAGACTGATCCATTTCACATTTTAATCAAAACTAAAACAACAATACTCAACTAAAACGCAATATTCCTCATTGATATGATTGGGAATGATTAAGCTCAACAAAATATATTAATTATTAATTTTTTTCAATCTAAAAACTAATTAAGTAAAACTAACTTAATTAGTGGAAAATAATACATTCAATATAGATCGACTATCATTTATTATTTATTAGTATTAACAATAGTGATAATGTTAATATCGGTAGCAATAAGTGTTACCATTATTGTTACTTATTAATATTATTAATTATAGAGAATACTGTTTACAGAAATAATCAATTTTGATAAAATAAGGAAAGAAAAAACTAGAAACTTACGACAGAACGATCGAAGAAGAAGCATATGGCAGATGATAAAAGCACAAATATTGCAAAAAATCTTAAAAAGCTATTTTTATATGTTTTATGTCCGCAACAACGCTGAAAAAAATATACACGGAAATAACGTTTAAAACGTGAGAACTGAAAGTAACTGGAAGTAAACCTTCTCGGAAAATTGTCTTTAAAAGAAGTTAAATTCCTATTTTGTCATCAATTCCAGATTTTACCCAGTTTTTTTTCTTTTTTTCGCTCTGCTGTACAACAGGGGAGAATTCCTGCCTTCTTTTTTCTCAAAAAAACTTTAGCCTACAAAGTTTGCATAGTTAAGCACTAAGGAATTAGATTTGTTGATGTCATAATTAGCAAAAGTAGATATGTCAATGACTCGCAAAAACAATTGCTTATGATATTTTATCAAAATAGTAACGATTATCAGTAATCGTTATCATTACAGTCTTTGCAATGATAAATTTTTAGTGATAAATTATTGATGTGAGAGTATGATTGAATCATATCGTAAATCTCAATCGATTAATGAAATTTATGAAAAAAATGGAACGAAAATTCATACCACAAATGAACGAATAATGAGAGAAATTGATAACGCCAATGCTAATAAAAATGATAAGATGATAACGAGAGATATTATGAATAAGCTGCAATTGTATTACCTTAAATGAAGGAAGGGAAAAACAAACTATTCAAAAAAATTTCAACTTCAATTAAATAGGATTATGCAAAGGATGAAATATAGGTATCTGGCTAGTGACAAATTGAACCAGTGTGTGGCATCATATAAATGCAAGGGAATAATGACCAGTATGATTGACCATTAAAATGGTATAATCGATAATCTGTGTGTGTGTGTGTGTGTGTGTGTATGTGTGTATGAAAAAAGTAGCAATAAAATAGGGTTATATAATTATTTCAGCTTCAAAAAATGGTATATTAGAATGAAAGAAATTCAAGAATATTTTGTTCCAAATTTTTGTCTGAAAAACCAAAAAAAAAGAAGGAAATTTTAAAATTTCATTCACGTTTTCCAATTTATCGATTTTCAAATTTTTCTTGCTTTTTTTCTTGGAATTTTGAAATTCAATTCAATTCGAAACTTTTTTTAATACTTATTCTTTTCCTTCTAATTCCTAAAATTATTCTCAAGTTTAAAATTTTTCTTTCCAAAATTTTCGTCGAATTTTCTTAAAGTTTCTAAATTATTTTTAACCTTTAATCTTTTGGTATCTCTTCTTTTGTAAATTTTTATTAATACTTTTGTAAAATTATTTTAAACTATAAACTAATTGATACCTGTGATCTTCAAGGAGTAATATTGCGGATAGTAGTAGGCCAGCGATAACAATTACATACATTAGTTGGATGAGAAATGCATCATCTTTGAATTCCATAAACTAAAAGAAAATATTTTAAATAAATAATTTCAATGATTTTAGTAAAAATTTAGGAGGAAAAAATTGAGTGAAATTTGAACTTTCAAGCAAAATTTAACAAAATATTTTAACAAAATTTGTAATTATCAAAAATATATTGGCTGTAATGAATATTTAATTAATTCTTCATTTCTTTCTTTTTTTCAACAAGTCGATTATGATTTTTTTTTTATTTCCAAACTTAAACATTAATTTTTTGATATTTTAAAGTTTTATTTAAAAGCAACAAAGTTTACTTTGTATACACACATATATATGCACACTTGATTAATTAAATTTTCTATTGGAAATAATATTGCCTAATTAATTATCGAATTTGTGTACCTTAGTTTCCATTTTTTTACGCCGAAATTTTAATGTAACCCTTTTGCAATACATATTTTTCCATGCATCCTTACTGATTGCTCGAATACCTTGCATTAAATAATTATCAACTTCAACATCCACAGATTGCTGTTGTTGTTGTTGTTGTCGTTCTTGCTGTTGTTGTTTTTGTTGTTTTTGTTGTTGTTCTTGTTCTTGTTGTTGTTCTTGTTGTTGTTGTTCATGACGTGATATTGATCGCCTAAATTAGGATTATTCATCAATAAAGAAAAATATTTGATTAATGATACTGATTACAATTTTTACTGATAATAATATTTCATGCAAATGATTTGTAGTATTCATAAGGTAAGAAAACGTGTAAATATTTATTTAATTTTTTTGTCAAAAATACGATCTGAAGTTTATTTGTTTAAAGTAAAACTACAAATTCTGAGGAAAAAACATTAATGCTAAACCAATCAGGAATATCATTGATAATTAATTTATTACATCACATTTTAAAATTGTAACAAAATTCTAACCTTTAAAAATAATTATTATTTCAAATAAACAAAAAATTAAAAATAGGACTGCAAAAAACCATTGCAAATTTGAAATGAAAAAATTGAATAATTAAAAGTTGAAACAAAAAAAAACCCCTCCCTTCCCCAATAAGTCAATAACCTTGGCGTTACATTTTCCCAACGTTTATTTGCGCATTTTATGACTGTAACCAGTAACACGTAAGCCTTTTCACCAAGTGGTATATCTCTACGTGATGTTATTTCCTGTCAAATATTTTATTTAAAATTAATTATATTTTAAAACTAAAAAAATCGAAAATTTTCCGGATGAATTTAAAATTTGTCAATTATTGCA